AATTAAATTCATTTCACTTTCACAAAGCACCAATTTAGTGAAACTTTTGTACTTTCAACGAAACTTAAGCATGTGAAATTAAAATAGTTGAGCCGCATAGTAAACGTTGAAAGATACATTAAACAGGGTAACGCAATTGAAATATTATTTAATAAAATATTTTAGAGTTAAACTTTTTACTTCCACTTTTGTCCATATACTCAACATGAGGTGAGTATTTCGATGTTTTTGAAATAATTTTTCTTTTTGCAGTCAATAATATAATAAAGAAAAAGTTAAGAAACTTTGAAAATTAATGAAAGCTCTAAAAGTTTTTCATGAATAAATATAAATATGTAAAACAATTTTTCTATTCATAGTATTTACTCAAAATTAACACCCTTTAACATCTAAATAGCTTTAAGACAGTTGCATTGTTATATTGCAGTATTGTAAATAACGAAGAAAAGTTTTAAACAGCACAAACTTTACGCAAATCTTCAGCACAGTGACACAGAGGATGAATTGAATACACTATGGTACATGACAACCCTTCGGAAGATTTAAGGCCAAAGGTTAAGGGAGAAAAACGATCAAATTAAAGTTTTCTTCTAATCGCGCATAATGAATAATTTTGAAAAGGCAAGTAAAAACGGAAATGGTTAAATGGATATAGTAGAAGACAAAATTTATTCTAACGTAAAGCAGATACTGACATGATTGTGCGAATAGCCTAACAGTTATCAGTACATATTGTACTACAGAGATTCGAATCCGACCAACATGCAAAACATAGAAAATTTGTTTTTCTAATGCGGCCCCCACCCGGCAGCGGCAGGGAATGTTAAGTCTTCCGAATGTTTTTTTTTTTTGTCATGAAATATAAGCTCATCATAAAAATCCATCAGCAGTTCGGTCTTAGGATAAAATGTAGATGGAGGAGTAGCTCGAGCGAAAATCACTTCAGCGGTTACTGAGCGTCAATTATATGTTAAAAAAAAACCGAAAGAACTGGCAGACTATAGAACAATTGTATTAATTACTCATTATTGACCGTAAATTGGAAATTAAATGCAGAGTCTCAACTAACGAAATATATTATATTGCACGGGCCTACACCACGTTTTCAGACAACCTTTTCTACCGTCGGTATACATACAAGCTCTCCACGACATTTACAGAGCGTCTTGGCCTAATCTTTAAATTTCGGTTGACCTTTAAGATATACAATTTATAAATAAATACTCGAATATATGAAAGAACAAAAAAAAATACTCTGCATAATTCACTGCTTTCTCCTCAGCGAAAACCATTAATCTAACTTTAAAGGCAATAAAGCAGCTTAAATGCGCTTAGATATGCAAGGAATAAAAACCCTTATCAAGCGCACTAACTGTCAATTTAACTGTCAAAATGTTTAAATTTAGCAATAAAATCAATTTCAAAAAAATATTTTAGAAAAAAAAGCACAATACACAATACAATAAAAACGTTAGAATGAATATGCAAGCACAACGAATTTATGACCAGTGCAAGCAAACTCTGTTCAAAAGCCTATAAACTCGGTTTCAATGCATTGAGCAGTTTCCTCTCGTCCTTTCATCTGAATTTTCTGATTTTCGTCTGTCAACTTTCACGTCGTTTTTTCTTGTCTGTCGCACTCATACATATGTACGTTTGTATGTAGAGTATCAGATTTCATGTTGGCCATTTGTTTTAACTGAAATTAATCGTACGCCGCAGTCTCAGTTGACACTTAGGGGTAGTCCATTGACGGCAGTTATGCTGTAGAATGAAATGTGAGGAAAAAAGTATTTGAAAAAAGAAAAACATACAAAGTATTGAAATCGAATTGGTTTTTATTTTACGTAAACTAACTGCAACGGACAGCGATAACTTTATCTACGCGAAAAATCCGCAAGTGAAGAATCAACTAGCCAACCAACGCTGAGCTGATGATGCGTTGAGTGTGGCTCGGATTGCTTGTTGCCTGCTGCTGGCGTTATGGCTTGGAGCTTTCGTGGTAGACCGTCATTAGCGGTCCCATGTGTCACTTCAATGGCTCGGACCGCAATTTTGTTTTCTCTGATTTCATTTCACTTATTTCAGTCGATTTTTTTTTTTTTTTTTTTTTTTTGAAACCTGATAAAGTGTTGCTTATTTTTTTCTTTGGTCGTTGCGTCTGAAATTCAGCACTACGCGTTCGGTTATCAGGCTTTTATTTTTTTGAGATGGCGGTTGAAATGGGTATAGTGTAAATCTTGTTGTTGTTTATTATTAAGCTTCTGTTATTGAATAAAATCTCTTTGAATTAATCATGACTTTAAAATTTAAATGCTTCAGTTGAGTTTTGTTTTAAGAAGAGGCAGCCAAGTAAAGTTTTATATTTTGTTAACATATGGATGAGATGTAGCTAAGAAAATTATTTGGGTAAAGGGTAGTCGAAATATTCAAATTTTTTTTATTTTTGCATTTCCTTAAAAAAATGTGTAATGATGCCCGCGAAGAGAAGTCATGGCGAATCATGATATTAGTTATTAGTTATAACCCCTTAGGCCAATTTCGGCCGAGCTTCATCTCCAATTTTTGGTGCGTGTCCTGATATTTTTCCAACAAATGAACCGACAGTTTATTTTAAGGCTCCTCCGAACGACCAGTGGATTTTTATAATGAGGTTCTAATTTCATGTCAACAACACACGCGGAGGCCCTGGAATGCCGTGAGGTTACCGCTCTTACAAAAATTAATTTCTTTTTTATATTGGGGTTCTATAATTTTGGTAAGGATTCCGCGTTGTAGAACACACTACCAGCCAATCGGCTACTCTAACTGCCCGTATAATTTGTTTAAATTCAAAGGAAACTACGAGAAAGGTGAGTAGATTCTAATCGAGAAATATATTGTATATTACTATTAGCAGGTCAAAATTTATTCCACTTTCGAATCAAATAAGTTTAAATAAATAAATAATCAAATATAGTACAAATTATTATTACACTTCCGAATTAAATAAACTATAAACGTATGAACACATATATAAATAAATGAAAATAGTACAAACCTGTGTATATAGTGATTCCGGCTAAACAGCAGTATATTATACATACACGTATGTATGTATTGTATATACAGTTTTTGTTTTAATATATTTCATTAAAATATATTTCATACACCTCCGTTCTATTTTACTGCCAATGAGACCTCATTTTCTGTGATGCCATTAAAACTCTAAATGGCAATCAAACACCATGACCTTTATATTCCAGAACTTATACTCTGAACAATTTGAAAATTTAAAGTAATGATAAAGCGAATTATTCGAATACTACACACAACTGTTTGCTAACAAAGAATTTAAAAAATATATTCCTAATGTCCATTATCCAAGTACAGCACTTTTAATAAATATATTTAGTTGTAACCACCTCCACTTTAAGAAAACAATATCCATGCGCATATAACGGATTTTTTCTACCTTCACACGCATTCTAACAATTTTACATACACTTTTAAACAATTTCTCTGTGCACACTCTCATTTCTGTCTGATTTTCATTTTCATCGGCACGAAAGACAAAAAATATTTTAAATTCTCAACATGTCCTTGTCAGCATAATTTCACTCACACATTTCACATAGAAATTTCTACTTAGTGTAAGAGACATGAAATGCCTTTACAAGTTGAAGGACAACAAGCCAACCACCACATACCAAATTTTTCATAGAATTCATAGCAAATTATGTGCAAGCAACAATTACAAAAAAAAAATTAAAACACCAAGATTTAAAGGTTGAATAAAATTGTTGAAATAATCTTGATTAAGACTCAGTGCCTTTCTATGTGGATGCATAATACACACAGAGAGCTAAGTCACATTTTTATTGACGGTTCTTTTATACACTTTGAAAATCGGCTTGTTTCGTGTCCTTGTATTTAACCAGAAAAGTATGTAGACTCGGCTTAGTCCTACTAGTATTCGATATCATAAAGTCTAACTAATCGATCTCGTCGAGATTTAACTGAAGACCCAGGAAACGAGCTGTTTAAACAAGATCGAACCAGATCGAAAAAGCACTTCGATAAATAGTTGTAAGTGGTTTCGCAATGAGTCGGTTAGGTCGCGCAGGCACTCATTCCATGCTGGAAATATGTACGGTATGTCTGAGCTAAGTAACAATAACTAGGAGTTGACTATCCTACCGCAATAAAACCTTTTTAGTGCCAATATTAGTCGGTTCTCTCGAGAGAGCTTGAGCTCTGTGAGAGAGAATATGTTTATAGTCACAGTAAATTGCATTTAAGCACAGCAACATACCGAATCATCTTTTATTATGATTCCCATGATTGGAATTCTTCATTTGTGTCTCGCTCGTCTCCGGCGTCCAAATAAGTGCAGCTTTATATACGCCTGGCCGGCCAATAGCCTTGTATGTTGCTTGCAACGTTTTTTTTTTATTTTCCCCAGGTACGGCCGATTAGCGACTTGAGGTTTTTGACAGAATTCGAACTAATGAACCTTGCTATGGTAGCACACACTGATAACTACTCGGTCAGTATGATCGTCAGTGAATTCCTAATTATATTCTCAATAACGGTCATTTCAAAAATTGTGAGGTTAAAAATAATTTTTTGTTTAGAAACATTTCGTTTAGATATGTGTGTATGTATGTATATGGTTTGTATATGTTGCTAAAAATGTTCATTGCATTATATGTGCTTGGCACCATTAAAGGTCATTCTCTCTTAACGTTTTGTAAGATTCGTATTTGGATTTCACCCGCAATGAAAAAAATATTTTTTTCTGGTTTTAAAGAAAAATCGAATTGGATCAGTGATGAATTGAATAACATTGCAAGCAAACCTATTTGAGTGCCATTATAATATAAGTAACGCTTTGAAAGCTATTGTAGTAAATACCGCGTACATACATCTATTGCCATCTCCTTCTCGCCTATACATTCAGCAACCCTCAACCATTCATTTAAAAGCATAAAGCGCTCTCGCAGTTGCAATCGAAGAAATTTTCGCTGCTGTCAAATTTTCCAATTGACAAGCGCGGTGCCAATTTCTGTCCAAGTTTTTGTGTATTCTCTCTGATAAAAAATTGTGTGTTTTTATAAGATTTTCTTAAACGAATTCGTGCAAAAATTCTAAAGTTGCATTGGCGTACGTCTAAGAATCTTGAATAAAATGAAAGTGCATTAAAATATATAAATTTATAAGCGCAGTACGCAAATAAAATTTGCAGTCAAGCGGCAGACACAACCAACCGTCTTCTTGGTGACAGACCGAAAATCGATTTTTCATGCGGGTTCATAGAAAAATTTTCGCTACTCTTTTATTCGGCCGACGTTTATTAAAGTGGTTCGTACAATTTTATTATACATTTTTTGTGCAATTTTGAGAAATTGAAATTTTTCAAAAAAATTGCATAGTAAATAGTTACCTACAGAACTTTAACTAGCTAACGCCCTTACCATCATTACAGACCAAACAAAAATCCCGAGAAAAACATAATTTATCGGCAACCGGCTTATTCATATAAGGGATATAATAAATAGTTCATAAGTAAAAAGTATATAAAAACCATATAAAGCGTAAGCAAAACACCAACAACAACACGCAGAGCATCAAAATTATACCTTTGACCAGAATCACAGTTTCCTCAGCCAACAGCGCTTGCAAAATTTGCGGCTAAATCAATAATCCATCATTTTAACACCCGAGCCAGAAGTCAGTCAACACGCATAACAACAAATCGAATCAGAGCGTTTTGCATTGCCATTTTTTGGGAGAAAATAACAAAAATAAATCGCATTACAAAGGTAAAGTTTTTGGCTTTTACAAGGAAAACGGAAATAAGGTCATATGTGTACAATGCAGTAAAAGGATATGCCGCATTGGGCCCAGAGTTGCAAAAAAAAAAATCATTTACAAACATACATACATATGTACGTAGTTATTTTGCTCATTGGTGCGCATAAATATATATATTTACTATCCACGTTCATATTTACAGGCAGGCATATGTACTTATATTTAGGGTGGCCGGCACGACTAAAGTGGTCGTGCATTAGATAGGTACGACGAAGCTGCAACGGCCATAGACCGTGCTTAAGTGTTCCATCTCAAAATTTTTGCTTTTAAATTAGACAAATCAATTTAAAAGTCACACAAAAAGCATTTGTAGAGTCAATAAGCAGCAGTCAATGTAGTAGTAAATTTCCGTGGTTATATATTATATTTTGAGCTTAACACTGTGAGATAACTAGATAACAGTGGTGATAAACTGTGTCTATATTGATTTGTTAACAACTTCGACAAAGAGTCTTCTAAAGTTGTAAACCTTTATTTGAAAATTAAGGTATATTTTTAATTGTAAAATGTGTTAATAGTCTTGATTACAGAGACTATATTTTGCTTTAGAGTTGTTGTAATAACAAAGAATATAAAATATTATGACATCAGGACCAAGTTCACATTAAGTGCCAGGATTTTACTTTAACTATCTATAGCACAACTAATCTATGAACAGACTGTTTAAATGCGAAATTTGTAAAAAAAAAAAAAAACCTTCATACAATTATCGAAGAAATAATGTGTAGCGCCAAGTATTTAGGCAGGTATATGACTAATTTCAAAATTTTCTTCTTATTATTAACAAAATAAATTATGAAAATTATTGCCTGTGAATACTCTACTAAAAAAAAAACATTTCTTTGCTCTATTTTCAGCGCAGCACCATACCCAAACCATAAATCGTAGAGCACATTCACTATAACTCGACCGTTATTTATTTGCAACGAAAAAATGAACGTGTGAATTGGAAAAAAAATTAAATTAAAAAAAATCTACCACAACAACCAAACACCAAATATAAAACATTTCAACCGTAACAACCAAAACGGAGGAGAACAAACCAAAAGCAATGAGTTCCCGACACTATACCATCGAAGTGGGGGATACGAATTTTACAATTCTTAATCGGTATACAAATCTAAAACCGATTGGCTCTGGTGCTCAAGGCATCGTTTGTGCCGCCTATGATACAGTGACCGAGCAAAATGTTGCCATTAAAAAGTTATCACGACCATTCCAAAATGTAACACATGCTAAACGGGCTTATAGAGAGTTTAAGTTAATGAAATTAGTAAACCATAAGAATATTATTGGATTACTTAATGCATTTACACCTCAACGTAGTTTGGAAGAATTTCAAGATGTTTACCTTGTTATGGAGCTCATGGATGCAAATCTATGTCAAGTCATACAAATGGATTTAGATCATGATCGTATGTCATATTTGCTATATCAAATGTTATGTGGTATAAAGCACTTACACCTAGCCGGCATAATACATAGAGATTTGAAACCATCAAATATTGTCGTTAAAGCCGATTGCACATTAAAAATTTTAGATTTTGGTTTGGCACGTACCGCCGGTACGACTTTCATGATGACACCATATGTTGTTACCCGTTATTATCGTGCACCCGAAGTTATTTTGGGTATGGGTTATACAGAGAATGTGGATATTTGGTCTGTGGGCTGTATAATGGGTGAAATGATAAGGGGTGGTGTATTATTCCCCGGCACTGATCATATTGATCAATGGAATAAGATTATAGAACAATTGGGTACTCCGTCTACATCATTTATGCAACGTTTGCAACCAACTGTCCGTAATTATGTTGAAAATCGGCCACGTTATTCCGGTTATTCATTCGATCGATTATTCCCAGATGTACTTTTCCCAAATGATAATAACGAGCAAAGTCGACGGAAGGCATCCGAAGCACGTGATTTACTTAGTCGTATGTTGGTGATTGATCCCGAACAACGTATTTCGGTTGAGCAAGCACTATTACATAGTTATATAAATGTTTGGTATGATGCTGAGGAGGTAAATGCCCCAGCACCCGAACCATATGACCATAGCGTTGATGAAAGGGAACATACCGTTGAACAATGGAAGCGGCTTATTTACGAAGAAGTTATGGATTATGAGGCACACAACACCAATGCGCCCGTAAATACTACACGGTAGACCCTGAATTAATTAGGCATGGCATACTAATGCTTCTGAGCAACTCTTAATGTATATAAAATATAAGAACAATAAAAGCATTAATACTTTCAAAATGATAAGCAAAATAATAAAATAAAGTAAATAAACGAAATAAAAATATTAGAGATCAGCTTGTTTCGCCTCTCAAAAAAAAAACCAAAACAAAAAACAAAATATATATAAAAATGGGATGAAAAAATGAATGTTCTTATTTGCAAAAGTGCGTAAAGTGGATAGTAATCTTTTTCTAGCAAAAGTGTAAGATTTTGATTGATGAATAAAAAGAAAAAAAGAAAATAAATAAAGAAAATGTAGAAATGGCGAATGTAATGAAAAGAGTACAATACATTAATATTTCTAACAAGTATTTGCTACATAAAATATAAATAATTACAAGGAACGCAAAATTATTTGACAAAAACGTAGTGAGTGTAATAATACTTTTATTGGAAAATAAATAAATAACCCCGATATCTTAAAATTACGCTCGCTTTATTGTTAGTTTATTTGGTATCGAAGATTTTACTACATATACAATTCGAATTTTAGTACTTAGATATATAACGATGTAAGTAAGAATGGTGTGTGTAAGGATTGTGACATTGCATTTAAAACTTTTTAAAATTAAAACCAAACTTTACGTGAAAGTTGTTCACCCATATTTTTATGCACAAAAACTTATTATTTTAATACTCGAGTTGTCGCTGGACCTATGATATTGAAAAAATCTAACCTTTTGATAAGAAATATAATTACAAATTAAGAATTGGTTTTATAGTGAATAACAAAATTCCTGGCACCAGCTTATTACCGATCTTCCCTAATAGAATATCTCTAAAGAATACCAAAGCTCATTAAATTAGGTTGTTGTTATATCTTTTCCCTAGGTTTACAATGCTTATACACAGGTATGTGTGTATGCTTACATATAAGTTCCAACTTGTTTGTTGTTGTTGCTTTTGCTATTTTTAGATCAAAGTGTAGACAACGTAAAGATTTTTAAATTAGTTAATATTTGAAGCTGGCGCAGTCTGACTACTTTCATATGTAAATATATATAAATATATAATAGATTTTGCGCAATGAAGTGGAAGATAAAATATACAATAGATTTTTATTAGGTGGTAAATTGGGTAAGCCAAAGACAAATATGTATATGTAAATATGTGAATGAATGCTGATAAATACCTTTTACTATAACCACATACACCAAAGAGGAATGGTGATGGTGGTTACCTAAGTTACTGAAATGACTTTTTGTATTAAAGAAAGTTTATATAAGTTGAAATTTCAGTAATGAATTTTAAAAATTCAAAATTTTTTTACTTAATATGAATTCATTAAACGTATTTATGAAATATCACTTTTGAAATTCAAGCTTTCAAAGGCGCGTATATCAAAGCAAGATGGAGTCCTTAATATCTACTTTGAATAAATGGAAAATTCTTCTCAATGAAAGTTGAGTTAAATACTCGTTTATATAAAATATTAACTTTTGATCTTCACTGGTACTATTTATGTTACTTACCTATTAACAAAATCAATTATTATAGCCGACTCTTTTGTTATATTTCGTTGAAAAACGATTGGTTTATGAGAACTTCTGCTCTTCAAGTAAATCACTTCCAATGTTCAGTCTACTCTTTATAATTTTCACTTTTAAAAATGGCCGACCGTCGAAAAATTTGAATGTAATTACTAAATATATTCTCGGCGCAATTTTAATAAGAATTAATTTTTCGTATTTACTTGCACAAGTTAATGCTTTCAATACTTTTTTATCATAAAACATCATATTAAATTTTTTAATAATTTTCACTTACGAATAACCAAAAGCGCAAATAACTGCTAAGAGGAAACGGCAACTGATCACATTTGGGGGGTTACCATTGCAAATTTGCATATTCGGAGGAAGTAAAATTAATGGAAACGGAAATTAGTTTTTACTATGTGGTAAGCAATTTAGTACGCTTATTTTATCTTATAAATAAAGACATTGTTTTAATAAAAATAAGTAAAAATATTTCACGAACATTAAATTACAAATGTTTAATACAGAAGTAATAAAATGTATATACCATGAAAAATACAAGCATACAATTTAGCATGGCGGTTTAGTACCCGCTGTATGGTGTTCATTTGAAGTTGGCCATCAAATTTTTGTTGGTTACGAACTTAGATGGCTGATAATCTTGTTTAAGGCTACCGTATAATATTTCCTGTATTTTGTGTGATTTCCAACATTTTCAAGGTATTGTAATTTTAAATTGATTTTTGTCTTCATGTTGTTATGCAAACAGTCTTAACTTGGAAACCGACACTTTCTTAATGAGTGAGTTTCGATGCCAGTGTAATATAAAAAGTAGGATAATGGAAAGTCAAAATGTACCTCTCAAAGTGTTCTTTGCTCATTTCCTCTTTGCATTGTGCTAACGGCATATAAATTACAATATTCAAGTATTTTAATCATAAATGAAATTATGTTTTCCATATTTATGTAAAACTCTTAACCTGTAAGCCGATTCATTCAATATATGCATGTTTTAATGTTTCTACATTATAATATGTGCGGAAATACAGTTACCAACCTGTGGCTCTCAAAGTATGTTCAGCTCATTTCCTCTTTGCATTGGGCTAACGGAAGATAAATATTTTAGGTGTACATACTCATTTCTTAATAGCGAATTTTCGTTCAATATGGCGCTATATTAGAAATTGGCAAAAGTGTTATTAAATTATTTGTATATTAAAGTGAATTAGTTTATGAATATAAAATCTTGAAATGTCATATGTAATATAATCACCGAGTTGTGTGATGTGTTTATGATATTCTAAGCATTTCCCGGGAACGTTGGAAAAACAGTACTTTTCGTGTATGTTTGTCGTAATGTGGTAGTCAAAAGTTGTTCTATTGTGCGAATCCATTAAGGCCGCAAGTAAAAATATGCACAGAAAAAGTGCCTTCAAGTTCATGGTGAATTTCCATTTATTGCTCCAGCTCAACTTAAACAAGTTTACGGAACATATTAGTAAATCGCAGTAAGGTAAAGGCAATAAGAAATAACAAATTTTATGCAGAAATCTATTAATTTTTATGATAATCTAACGTAATTCTTGTTCGCTATCCGGGCAATGTTCGAATTCATCGTTGCTAATTATGCTAGGCGGCTGTAATAGCCGAGTGGTTACTAATGCGTACTGTGATTTAGAAGGTCAGGCTTCGAGAACTGCTTCAACCAATATACAAAATTAAAGAAAATTTATATTTCTAATTGCGTTCGACCCTCTAAGATTTTCATGTATGACGGAGAGGGTAGCGCTAATGTGTGAGACGCCACATTCCGCTGACATCAACTAAATCGTAAATTTGTGTACTGATTTTAGGCATTTAGAAGCCCGACGTAAACCGACAACGATCATTAAGGTCATCTCGGAGCAATAAATATTTTTTTTTTAATAAAAAAGTTTGCAAACAATCGAGAAATTAGCCGCAAAACTATATATATGAAAATAGTCAAAAACAGAATAATTAAGAAACATCTGTTGCGATCGCTTCTCAATATTTAATTTTTTTTGTTTAACAAAAGACTGTTTAAACAGCAGTCAAAATGGGTAAACTCTTGCCAAAATGGGGGTTACTGTCGGTATGGTAAATAAATACAAATACAATGGGATTCGCGCAAAAAAGCTTTTGTTTATTTTAAATGAAAATGATGTAATATTTTTTAAATCAAAAAACACTTAAAACAATATTAAAAAATTTCTACAGATTTTAAAGAAATTCTAAAATTTAGATATCTCAAATATTATAACTGAAAGTTAAAGTGTAGCCGGAGACCCGAATGTGTCAATTTCTCGACGTTCTCAAGTGACTTTCTTGCGTATTCCGCACTTTTGACTTACACCTACGCCCTCTTGAGCACTTGAAAACCACATTCCTCAAGTTATGACGCTTTCTCCATGCAATTCGCGCCTAAAAGTGTTTGAAAATTACCTCAAACGGATCGAAGCTTGCAAACATTTCAGTGTCGGCCGTTTAAATGATGTTTATATAATAATGTAATAAAAAATCGAATTTCATGGAAACAAAAATATTTTGTAAAATGTACAATATTTTATTTACGTTTATTTACGAGACCGCTAAATGGATAAGCCTTTATTCAAATAATAATATTTTATTGAACTCCCTAGTGCTTTTATTGAAATTTTAGCAACGTTTACATTTATTGTAAATTATTTTTATTGTATTATATAAATTTACACGTTTATTATCTTACCATCAACAGTTGGTTTTTACACTTCAAAATATTCGGTATGATTTTGATCAATTTGCAGTTTTTAATTTTCTTGATTTTATGGACTGTAAACCTTTATGGGACTACGGCACAGCGTTGCACTCCGCTAGGTAAGCGTAGAAATGGACTTAAAGATTACAAAAAAAAACATTGACTTACATATATAAATAACATACATATATCATTGCAACAAACTTAATTACTTTTTTCATTTTTATTCAATTAGCCAATCCCACGTGCACCGCACAAGCTAATCCCGGTACAACAGGTCCAGGTTGTCTGCCGGGCACAAGATGGTCTTATGATTCGAGTAGCAGACGATGCACGGCTTTCACTTATCAGGGTTGTGGTGGAAATTCGAATCGTTATTGTTCGCGTGTTGTATGTGAGCGGAGCTGTTTACCTACCGCTCGGCCGAGGGTTGTTGTTGGTTGAATAAATGTATGAAAATAAATTGTGTGCTTTTACTGTGGACGTTACTCTTTGTTTTTGGTAAAGATGGTTCAAAATTTATGAAGTTTATTAAAGTTTCCCTCACAAATTTTTATAGGATATCAGTCACCTTATAAACTCTCTTAAAGCTAGAGTGGGCTGAGTTTAAGGTGTATTCAATGCAACTTACGATCCGAGCGCCTTTTAAGTTCGTAGCACGAAGATATCATTGTCAAGAAGAAGCCATTGGAGACGAAATGTAGAGAACACATGAATCAAAAGTCAGGATTAACTCGAAGGTCATTGAACCTTTTCGGGTTTGTTAAAGATGATCCGAGCTAAATAGTCTTATCTGTTTTCCTTTCTCCTTTTTCTTCTGTTTCCTGCGTAGTAGACATCATTTAATCGACTTTATTTTAGTTTAGTGAAGCCTTTGGAATACACCAAATCGCACCAGGTCCTTGCACCCTTTAACTCTCCAAGGTAAAATATAGGCTATCATCCCTATGGTGTTCTTATTGTGTACTTACAGCGTGAAAGTGCTATTCCGCCCTTATAATAATTTATTGATTCCTCGCCTCTTCATACCCGGGGATTATTATAAACCTCAATCAATCTCAAACAACTTCCTTCGAACTCTCTCATATCAAAAATACAAGAGGCATTTCATAAGCTATTAGAACATGAAATAACTATATGGGTTGAAGAATTCTTTGTTTTCCTGGAATCTGATGTTTTGTCTATATCTATACTATACTTCCTACGGGCCCCGGTATAAACACGCGAATGGAATCTTTCTCTCCTTCTGGTAGTATATGTGTGTCATGAAGACCTACTCTCTTTCATTCTTGCAATACCATAGGGCTATTCGTGTAAACTTCGGCTTTCGAACAAATCGCTCGAGGTGAAAATAAAGAAGTAAATCTTTTCCCGGCTACTAAGCAAATTTATTTTTCATATTTATATTAATACACAATAATATTTATGGATTAAATATAATACGACAGCGCTGTTGACACGCAAAAAGCGAACAATAACGATTCGAATTGCCTCCACAGCCCCAATAGAAAAACGATTCACACTGTCTTGAGCCGGTGTTGTAGTACCAACGAGTGCCGCCATTACAACGATCGCCATTGAAACCGGGATTACGTGGTTCCGTGCAAGTTGGATTATCTACGAATTAAATATTTATAAGCAAATATATAAGTTAAATTAAAAAAAAAAAATAATTTTAATTAATATTGCTTAATTAAATAAAAAAATAAAATTTAAAAAAATTAAATAAAACTAAATAAATAAATAAAATGAAATTAAAAAAATAATATAATATAAAATAAAATGAAATAAAATTAAAATAAAATAAATTAAACAAAAAAAAAAATAAAACAAAAATTTAATAAAATAAAAAAATAAAATAGATAAATTAAAATAAAAATATAAAATAAAACAAAATGAATTTAAGCAAAATAAATAAAATAAAATAAACTAATGTAGAATAAAATAAAATAAAATAAAATAAAATAAAATAAAATAAAATGAAATGAAATAAAATAAGGAAAAATGAAATAATTATAATAATATTATACAAAATAAAATAAAACAAAAATAAAAAATTTAAATATATATAACAATATAATATAAAACAAAATAAATTAAAACAATGGAAATAAATAAAATTAAAATAAAACTAAATAAATTAAAAAAAATAAAATTAAAGTATATGAATGGAATAAAATAAATACCAAAAACTAAAGAAAAATTTAAATAAATATAAAAAATAATATTAATTAATAAAAATAAACACTTACTCAGCGGTCCACATTGTTGGGCATATACACCATATTGGCTTACAATCAAAACGAAGAGGAAAAATATCAAAATCATCTTATCGATTGCAATAATTTCGAAAACACTCCACTGTGTCAAACAACTGCTTTTATATTAATTCGAACTCAAAATTTAAAGCTTTATTAGTATACTTACTTACATAAATACATATATACACATCAAAGTGTATTAAAAAATACATATTAAAGTATTTTTTCTTTTAATGAATAAATCACTTTATGAATAGTACTTTTTTATATGTGACATAATTAAGAAAGCTTTTGTTAATTTATTATTATAAAAAATATGAACTAAAACGTACCACAAGCACTGATTATTTGCTTTTGTACCTTATATGTAAATGGCGCATTGTGAGACCACATTTTCCTGGCTACTACCCGTCATTTCCTTCCAGATCAAAGTTAAGCGAAAGGAATTCAACTTTTTGTTCTTGTTGTAGTTTAAAGTGCTCACGTATATTTGAGAAATCCGTTACCTCTTTCGGCCGTCGTATCGACTCTATTTTGTTTGAATTTCCTCACTGCTTACTTACTGGGTTTATGGCCAGCGCGGATTTAATCTTAAAATCACAATTATCCATTCTAAAGTTTAAAACAATGATATATTTAGTAGGGATGTATATAAAAAATCTCAATATTTTCTCAGTGCAAAAAAGTTCAATAAATTGCAAATTGTGCTTTAAGTCTCCTTAATGAAAGTAACCAGATATTAGCTAGTATCGGGATTGAGGTTGCTCTATTTTTTACCCTTCTCGTGCTTCCAAATAATGAAACATAAGTACTCACTTCTGATTGGAGTGGTTAAAAGAGGTGGAGAATACACCAACGGTACTGCCTAAAAGCTTGCCAAATAACTTCTGAACTGTGGAGTTCACTCACTTTCAATCAACATGACTAATCCATGCACATAACACAGGACTCTTGCTAAAGTCTACCACCAGGGATCATACTTTTAGATGCCCAGCAAAAACGAGAACGTTAAGAGCGCCTCGGGCGACGAGAATCAATCAGCGGAAAGTATGCTTCTCGATTAAGTTTCGAATGTTCATGGCCAACTCCATTAAGAAAAGGCGGATCCACAGTGCACTACCAATCTAGTAATTCGAATATGTCAGCCAACAAATATCCGCCTTCATAATAATTTATAACCGTTGAACCAATTTTCCGCCGAGCACCTTCCTCAATTTGTGATGTGCATATTGATGTTATTCCAACAAATAGAGCTCATTCCAAGCCGCCTCCGAACGGCAGATGAATTTTTTTTGTCAGAAATACAGTCAATGGTGTAGACATAATCTGCCGAGTGGCGGTACTCACTGATAATAGTACGGCTGCTGTGGGGGTTTCTTCTTTACTGGCATAAACACCGCTTGCGCGATTATAGCAATGTTAGCAACAACAATGCTTGGCAGCAGTCAATTGCATTAAAGAAACCAAGTACAGGCAGATCCTTCTTCCACTTCTTTCCAACGTAGTCTAGGTCTTCCTCTCTCAGTACAGTACAGTACAGGTGCGAAATAAGGATGATTCCATCCCACCCGCTTAAGCACAGAACAAATCCTTCCTGGCCGTCATTATGCCTTGGAGAGCATAGGTGTCGGCTCAGTGCCCCTGGATTACGACGGTTTTCGTTTGACGCTGCTGTAAATGATCCACTTTTCAATACCAGTTAATCTATGCTTGAGAAATTGGTCGATTTTGTTACGATCCAGTAGCGGTTTGCAGATGAAAATTCCGTCCAAGAGGGTTTTTTCATTAGCTTATGTGGCATCCGTACATTGAGCCTCTTGGTGAATTCAGCCCTTTTCCATTTGACTGCAAAATTGTTTTTTGTGCCACGTTTAGCTCCTGGGCAATTATTTCTCACTATTTTATCGACATTCCTACAGCGCAAATTATTTTTTGCATCAAAATTACCTGAACGAAATCTACGAAAGCTTTCGAATGATTTCTCGTAAACTTTCGAAAAACGAGAGTCGAACAGTTGCACGAGTACTCTTATTATCTGAAATACTACCCAACACCAGTGTATCGATTAAATTAATGAATAAAACTCCATAATTGCAAATATATTACTTAATTTATTTTAAAATCATGATCATTCAATTTTCGTTCCGACTTCAAATCAATTCTTTCAAAAAAATTATTATTCACAATTGTTTTGACAAGCAGACAATGAACAATAGCGATTGGCATTACCACCACAGCCATAATAATAGAAACTGTAGCATTCATCGTTACGCGAATTGTAGTACCATCTAGTGCCAGCATAGCAACCGCTGCCACCGTGACCGCTGTGATAACCACCCGAGCAGCTGTAGTAGCCTGTAAAAGGAAAAAAATGAGAAAATTTGTTTTAATGTATGTTTAGAATTTTGAAAATTATGATTTCGAAATATAAATATCCGAATTCGAGCTTCAAAAATTCGAACTTTGAAAATTCGAACTTAGAAAATTCGAACTTTTGAAAATTCGAACTTTGAAAATTCGAACTTTGAAAATTCGAACTTTTGAAAATTCGAACTTTGAAAATTCGAACTTTGAAAATTCGAACTGGAGCACTTACGTGGCGCGTTGGGACATTGCGCATTTGTTTGCCCGAGGAAAAGGAAGATGGTGACAACCAAAAACAAGAATGTTGCAAGGAATTTCATGTTGATAGCTATGAAAGTTCTTGGGAGAGACTGGATATTGTGTGCGTAGCAGTTTCAGTAGTAACTGATGATTTTACCAAGCAAACAAGTTGCTTTTATAGTGAAATTAAAAATAGACAATACTAAATTTATTTAAAAAAAAAAAAACTTATTTATCTACTCGTGTCAATTTTTTATACTCATATATTGTCATCAATAGGTTGCTTAAAAGAACACTTGTCTCATTGGGAGGTCATATATTTTATATTTTCAAAAAGTGTGTTGTTAAGGGCATACGTGTGAACTAATTTTCTTTTGAACTCATAAATAAAATGTTAATTAAAAAGACTTCTTTGTTGTTAAAAAATTCATAGGATTAACAGAAAGTTGGTCTGCAATAGGATATAGCGCTAAGTGGAGTTGCTAGGCTGAATGCAACCCATTTAAAGCATTGGCACTGGTTCAGGTAATAAAATCAAAAAATATACAAATCGGTGACCGAAACCTAGTGGCAGTTTTGATTGCTTTTACATTTTTCTCTGACACCAAACAACTACAGATTTGCTCATTAGCTGCTGTAAATTCCATGAAAATAGGAGAGGAAATAGGTTTTAAAACAGAAAAAAGGAGTCAGAAAAGGAATCAGTGCTGGTGTTACAACCACGAGTAGACATATAGGAACATCTTCAGAGAAAGGTCCCAATTTAGAAAGGAGCAAACAAAAAGGTAATCTTTCGAAGAAACTCCGATGTATAGTATAAAAGAGTGAACGATAACGACCACCGATGAGCCGGCGGTGGGAGTTTTCGAGAGAAATAACCTTTGCGTATTCTGGGTGACGAAAAGATGATGAAACATTGAGCTCTTATAAGACAACATTGACAATATTCAGCTAGCTAGATAGATTATATTGTTTTTCTTATAGAGACAGTCCGATCCCGTTCAAAAGCACAAGGAGGACAAGACTAGTCTAAGATTTCCAAGTTATCTTACGGTTCGGACCAGAGAAAGCTTGAGCACGTCCTCCGTATGAACGGAAATACTCATTTTGGAAGTTGAAAACGAAATGCCCACACCGATAGCGCACAAGACGCTTTTCCTCTTTTCGTAGTTCGACACTTGGAACCACCAAGTGAATCCAAATGCCTTCCAGCTTGTGTTAAAGCGAATACTTTTAAAAACTGGTATCTTTTCATCCAAGCATTCAGGTACTAAGGACAATTCGATGTTATGTTTGTGGATATTTTATGAGGGCCTATTAAACTAACATATTCCCAATGTGTATTCTGTAAGGTCCATGTACCGTCTCAGAGTATAATCTGGCACTGGCACATTTTAGCTCTCTGAAAACACTAGGCAACAACCCACAACATGCCTTTAATCCGTTTCGATCGAGAGTTGAATATTAATCCAGAAGACACTGTAGATTACTTAAAAGTCAAAGGAAATTCAGAACAACTAAAAGAAAGAAGTGATAGCAAAGAGTTGGTAAAGTTCGCTACTCAAATGAGATTGAAATGTTCTTTCAGGAGGCGTTAATATCATTCACATATACAGTCTATCCTGGGTATCTCATTCTAATGGTTTCTACAAAACACATTCAGGTTTCAATGTTGTTGCTTCTGTTGCAACGGCTTAAGTAACCCTGCTTAGGAGTAGGCACAACTGAATGCCGAGGTCTAAGTGGATAATCGTAGTTGGCGTCGGTTCTATTGGAATCGAGTTTGAATAAGTAGAATTTAAGTCTACTACAGTTTTCAGACCTTAGTTGTGCCCATATTACTCGGCTCTCGTGAGGTAACTTTAGCTCGTCACCAGAATGAAGTTGTTGAAGATTTTGACGGGACCTTTCGAAAGAGGCCTGCGGTAGCACACCATCACACATCTTATATTTACAGCATAAAATTATTCCTCCTAACTGGCTGGCATACGAGTAGCAAGGGGTTTCCTGCTATAGTCCTTTCGGTAGTCTTATAGTCCTATACGGAGTATACCCTGAAATTCTGGAGTCGTGTGCTTTGATATTCATGTCGAGCCCTTCTCGGTGAAGAATAGGAAAAGCCTGAAGTCCGTCTGCTTCTGCTGCTTTGTTTCCCCTTAAAATGTTGAATTAAGTCAAATGTTCGAAGTATGATTGTCAAAGTGGGCGCTTGTGACGTTGTAATTTAACGTTCTAGGAGTTGTATGACTTTGATTACATGTCCATATATTCTTCAAAGCCCTAGTGATATGTGCTAATACAAAAGGCAAATAAGCAGAGAAAGAGACAGCGGAGGGTTCTTTTACTAATATTAGCTCGATTGAAGTAGTTTTCTGTTGAGGAATCGCACGCAAGTCCGGTAACTGAAAATAGGAATAGAAAGATGGCTTTTGGCGTCGAAGGACAAGAAAATTTCGAGTCTGACTGTCATACGGGGACTATATGTATGGTTACCACACAAGTTGAGGGCTGACTCGTAACAAAATCTTTGAGGATTGATGATGAAATGTGGATCACTTACAGTAACGTCAAATGGGCAGTTAACTGGCACAAATAGATCCCAAGCCAGAACTGACGCTCACGAAGATTTTGTTGTGAGTTTGGGGTAATTGGCAAGGAATCCCCTCACAGCGGCCAAACTCTTACTTCAAACCTGTGCTGTCTGAGCAACTTAGCAATTCGACCCAAGCTTTAACAAACATTAGGTGAATTGTGTAACAGGACAACGTCAGACCATAAGGCCAGAAGATAGTAGAGTTGGTAGGATCTTTTGTACCAACTTATATTTTTCATATTCGCTTAATCTAAACCTTCCATTTAATGAATCATAAAATTCCATAAAAATTTCAACCTGAAGAACAAAAGCTGTGTTTCCTATTCCATTCAAATTTTGCATTAATTAATTATTTTAAACTAGATCTAATAATTACCACTTTATAACCGCTGAAGTGCCTTTCGTGTGAACTCCTCCTCCTCCAATTTCTACCTACAGTACATACCAGAAATTTACTAGGAGGGTCTCCATTCCCCTCAGAGGATGCTTAGTCTACGTTAAACCTACGGTCGATAGCTGTAAGAGGATCGATTATCGTTATGGCAGTCAAAGACTTTCCCCACTTGAGGTACGTTGCCCCGGCGCTTCCCTCTTTAGCTGGACTTTCTATAATCTAGGGAACTAAAGTGTGTATAGATGCCAAAAAATTCAGTCCAAATATTAGCTATGGTGAAAAAGGAAGAGTATAGGCGCAGAAGAGTAGATTACAGGAATATTTAGTTATTGGCTTTCATAAATAATAAGTAGTTAATAATATAATTAATTATTCTTTTAAATATATTTGTGATTAATTTCAATAATGATTAATATTCTATTACCATAAAATTAATTTTCAAGTATTTATTTGCCTTGCAAGAAGAGAAATTTACATAATTACATTTTGAAATGGTTTTTTTTTTTTTAAATATTATTTTCTGGATCGATCGACATATGTATGTACATTTCATGTTAACTTGATATTGCATACTGCAGCACTAACCACGTGGAGTACATCTTTGTTGACAGGCGCCAAGTGAACAATAACGGTTCGCATTACCACCACAGCCATAATAATAGAAGCTGCTACAACTTCTGCTACCCGGATGGTAGTACCATCTTGTACCGGCATAACAACCGCCGCCGCTTCTACCACTGTGATAACCGCCCGAGCAGCTATAATATTCTGAAAAAATAAAATTGTTGCTTATTAAAAATATTTTAAATATAAAAGAGTATTTATTTTGTTTTATTATATTTCTTTCTTTTGTTTTTAGTTTTTTAATTCTTTGAAGAATTTTTTAATTTATGCGTTTTTATATTTTATTTTAGGTTTTTATACTTTTTTCATTTTTATATATCATATTATTTAATTTGTTTTAATTTTTTATTTTTAAACTTTATAAAAAAGTTAAACATTTTAAAAAATTAAATAATTGATAAAATTAAATTAAATTAAAAAATATTATTATATTTCTAATTATTTTAGATCATATATATATATGTATTTTAAAATTTTAATTTATTTGATTAATTATTTTTTTTATTATTTTTATACATTTTTTTTTTAATTTGGTATCTTATAATTATTTTAAAAATTTTTGTTTGAAATATAGTATATATAATAATTTATATATTTTTATGTGTAATTTCATTTGCTATTTCTATATTTTTATTGTTATTACATTTTATTAGAACTTTTAAATTTTTTTAAATTATTTTTATTAAATTTAAAAATTTTTTAAGTTATTTTTACTATATTTGGAAATTTTCAATAATTTTTAAATTTTATTATATGTTTCTTAAATACACAATTTTGTTTTATTTATTTTTTTTTTAATATATTAATTTAATTACTTTTAATTTTTTATTACTTTTAAATCTTTTAAAATTTTTGAACTTTAATAATTATTTCTTATTATCCCTTACAATTTTTTTTAAATATATTATTTACAAAAGTTCATATATTATTATAATTCATTTTGTATTTTTATATCATATTTGGATTATTATTACATTTTATTTAAAATTTTTTATTATTTAAAATTATTTATAAAATTTTGTAAAACCTATGCAAAAATGTAGACTTTCTTTATTTTATTTCTTATTTAAATTTTTTTAATCAAATTTTTTTTTAATAGTCATTAAAAATTTTAAGGAATATATCATACATGCAAGTTTCTGTTTTTTCATTATTTTAAGTTTTATAATTTTTTTTTAAATATATATTTGTTTTAAATGTCATATTTTTATCTCATTAGAGATATATATATATATTTTATTTAAAATTTTTTTATTTTTTTAATTATTTATAAAATTTTTAAGATATTTTTGTGTATAGGAGTAGAATACACAAAAATGTATGCTTTCTTTATTTTATTTCTTACTTCTTAATTTTTATTCATTTTTTATTTATTTATTTTTTTTAATAGTATCTGAAATTCTTAAGAAATTTATTATACACACAAATTTATGCATTTTCATACTTTCAAGTTTTTTATTACTACTTTTAAATAATTTATTAATTTTTTATTTATATTTTTTTTCTTACAATTTTTAAAAATTTATTATATAAATTTATGCATTTTTATTCTTATTGCATTACTTTTATTTTTTATTGTTACCTTTAATTATATTTTTTTATTTGTATTTTAATTTGTTTTATGTTATTTAAAAAATGATATGTATTTTCAGATTACATTTTATTTTTTTTTTACTTTTTTTAAAGTTTTTTATATTTTTTTTAAATTTTTATAATTTTTTTTAAATATTTTAAAAATTAAAAAAAATATTTTTCACAAAATTTTCCCATTTTAATTTAATATATGATTTTTAATTATTTATTATGTTAATTATTATTTTTGTCTTAATTTTTTACTTACGCGGCGCATTCGGACACTGCGCATAAGTTTGCCCCAAGAAGAGGAAGACAGACAAGACTAAAAAACACGCAAGAAACTTCATTTTGGACGTATAAGAGTAGCTTAAACGAGTGAACTTGGTATTGTACAGACGTGAATTTGGCAACTGATAACATTTTGAAGCTTAAGCGCTGCTTTTATAGCCAATTATGTAATAATTTTTCTGAAAAAAGTTAATTGTAAAAATTTGCTCGTGCCTGTTCTTGATTGTTTATATTCATTGCTAAAATAATTTTTTTTAACAAAGCTTAATTTTTTCTATACTTTTTTTTTAATTCGTAAAATCTGTTGAGGGGACAATAAGTGCAGTTGCACTGGGGTGTTTTTTGTGGGTCTAAAAACAGATATTCTTTAAATATTATTTCTCTTTTATATTTAGTATATCTTCACATTGCATTCTTGAACTTATCAGGTGCAATATTTTCGCATGTTTTTTTCTTCATTGTACTCTCTTGGGTATATTGTATAATTAAGCCGGTTTCATGCGAATTATATGTATGTATGTATTATATTTTGTTAATATTTTCTGAATGCACGTGGCGAAGTTATCGTTTGAAATTTTCGAATTAAAAATAAAAAATATTATACATTGTCTGATTTACATCCATTTCTTTGTGTCACATATCACCTTTGTTTCCTTCACATATGTTTGTATTTTATATGGATTGAAATGGGATGTAGTCAGGCTACTGGGTATGCATTTCCCTTTCAACTCTACACAAAGAGGGGATTTAGTGACGAATGCCCAGAGTATTTGGAATTTATGGAGAGAACATTTCTCCAGTCTGCTGAATGGCAGTGTAAAGGGAACACCCGGAAAAGGTGAACCAGACAGCGCAATCGATGAAACAAATGTTTCATCGACTATGACGAAGTAGTGGTATTCAAATACGTCGGCGAAGGAATGTGAAAGATGCATCAGCTACTTTGCAAAGTATGGTCGGATGAAAGCATGCCCGACGATTGGAACATAAGTGTGCTCTGCCCAATCCACATTCCTATAAGGTCCTCTCAAGCACATTGTGGGAAAGTCTAAAGATCACCGTCAGCAAACTGATTGGACCTTGTCAATGTGACTTTAGACCTAGTAAACTAACCATTGACCAGATATTCACTATGCGCCAAATCTTGGAAAATACCCGTAAAGAGACCACCTTTTCGTCGATTTTAAAGCAGCATTCGAAAGCACGAGAAGCCTTTACGCCGCTATGGTATCCCCGCAATACTTATACGGCTGTGTAAACTGACCTTGAGCAACACTAAAAGTTGCTTTAGGATCGGGAAGGACCTCTCCGAGCCTTCCGATACCAAACGAGGTTTCAGACAAAGTGACTCCTTATCGTGTGGCATCTCTAATTTGTTGATGAATATAAAAATATTACGAGCTGCAAAGCTGAACAGAGAAGATGCAATCTTCAATAAGAGTGTTTGCGGCTGGAGAGCACCGATAATATTGACATCATTGGCCTTATTCAGGCTCGATAAGGAAGCGTATCTTATGGATTTGGTAATGAAAGAGGATACAACAAAATATCTCCTGTCATCAAATAAGCAGCCATAGCTTGCGTGACTCGGATTCCACGTCTCTGTTGACAGTCCTATCATTGAAGCCGTAGATAATGTCGTCTATCTAGGAACCAGCATTAACCAGGAAAAACAATCATAGACTTGAAATCCAGCGCAGAATCGCTCTTGCCAGCAGGTGCTACTTTGGTCTGAGTAGGCAATTGAAAAGTAAAGCCCTCTCTCGGCGTACAAAAATCAAACTCTACAAGTCGTTCATCATAACCGTCCTACTGTACGGTGCTGGGGCTAAGACGATGAAGCCAACATATGAGTCGGCGTTAGGAGCTTTTGGGGGCAAGTTTCTGCATAAGATTTATGTTCTTCTGCGAGTTGAGAACGGGTAGTTCCACAGTGTAGGGAGCGATGAGATGCCCGATATATGCGTCGACATTGATATAATTCAGCGAATAAATGGACGACAGTTACGCTGGCGTGGTCATGTCGCCCGAATGGTTAAGAATACCCTAACTTTGAAAGCATTCGATACAATACCCGCGGGGGAAAGCAGAGCCAGAGGAAAGCTGCCAGTGTGTTGGAAAAATGAGTTGGAGAAGAAGCTGGCTTCATCGGGTGCGGTGAAGAGAAGAAACCACTAACGCGCTATTTCTGACTACTCGGCTATAATCGCGTAAGCGCTGCCTAGCCCCTTCAAGGGGCAGAATCTATCACATGCAGTCACAAATTCATATGCTCTGTTTGTTTGTAAGGGATTTTGAAATAAATTGAATATGACAAAGTGTCGCCAAAGTTAACAGACAATTTTTATCTTTTTTTTTTAAGCTATTGTAACATCAGCTAATTTGTATGTATATAAATAATGTAGATTATCCCACTAACTGAATTTCATTAGAGTTCTTACGACTGTCTACGCTTAAGTGGAATCAAATTACATTTATTTAAACTCATAAGAAATATGAAATATTCACACAGTTGCGCGCTTTAGCCAATCTCAAAAGTTTCAGCGTGAAATGTTTAAATGAAATATACAAAAAAAAAAAAAAAAAAAATTAAAAGGAAAGGAAAGGAAAATTACGTTCTTCTTGCTCATTTGTTACGCTCACACTCATATGCCGACATTAATATGACAGGTATGACGTTGTTTGCCTGTCATTTCATTTGCAACACTCCGCCTTTTTCTGGTTGCCGCATATGCATGTGTACATACACATGAATGCTGCCCGATATGCATACCCAATACGGCAGTATGTGTATGGCAGGTGTTGAAAATTTGATTGAGCCTCTACTGCATGGCTGCTGATGCACAGACACGCACTCACATATATATATATATATATATATACACACATATATACTGTGTAAAAATGCCGCATCATATCACTTTTCCATTGCTCCAACATAAACCGTCAACATCATCGCTTATAAGCGCCTGTGACGTTATCAATGCAGCAAAACTACCTCCAGCGCAACGTCTCTTACATTCTGCCTACACAGTGGCATGTATGTATGTAGTCATATGATAGGATATATGCATGTATCTACTTCAATTTGTGTTATGACCTTATGCGCTTCACTACTGTTCCACGTCGCTTTGACACATAAAGTGCATTTTCACATCACTGCTTGCCCTATTACAGCCAGCATCAGGGGAAGCGATACGGCGCAGGCAGCAGTTTGGTAACTCTGTTTTTAAAGTGCGTTGTCAAATTTCATGTCTCTCAACCCATATATGTACGTATGCATAAATTCTTTTTGCTCCCATTCATTTATGATGTGTGACAGTCAACATATGTGAAGGCAATTGACAGGTCTTTTAGGTTTGACAAATCACTTAACGATTCTTGATTTGTAGGCTATGTAGAGGTTAGAGGGAGAGACATATAGATGTAAGTATGTAGGGATGTTATAATACTTCGCTGATTGTCTCTCTACCTTTCAACAATGAGAGCAATAGCCAGAAAGTTGGACACACTTAATAAACTTGGAAAGAGTTAAATAACAGATCAACCGTTCGGTCTCTTTGCTGATTCAACTTTATCTCAGCTAACTAATTGGCGTCTTGATAGCGAGGACTATTCTCGAGCTTTTCTACAAATTTCGTGTTTGAATTTGGGTTTCTAGTCAGAATTATAACTTCTTACTTCTTTAGTAAATTTAAGGGACGATGTGTCTAAATGGGTTAAGTACCGTGAGGAGTTACCGAAAAATCTCCTCGAGCTACTGAGTGACCGCCGCACGATTTGAGCAATATACTCGTTTAAGTAATTTAAGAGTCCGGCATCCTGACGCATTGTACTAGGGCAGCTTCCTGGAGCTGTAGGCGTGTCGAGCAGATGTCTGACATCTATTTTCGCATACTACGTGAGACACGTACATTTTCAGGGCGTGGTTTTCATTCTAATATCCGAAAAAAGTTTGCATATATGAGGACTATGATACTTCAGGATAATCTTTCAAGGATTCAGCATGCAGAGGTAAACTTCTAAATTAAACCTCATGCAAGAGTGTATTTTTCAAAACAAAATTGGGTCTTCAGAACAGATCTGGTTTTAAGTCTCGGAAAGATAGAAATACACGAGGAATATCCCAGACAGAAAACTGTTCTGGAAGACAAACAACTGTCACGCAAGGGCATACTTTTTATTGGAATTCGATTATATTTTAAATGGGTGATGTAATATCTATGCCTTGGGACGGGTTAATGGCGAACTCGTCATCTCTTCTTTTTTTACTGGCGATTATAGTCAAGTTAACAACAACGCGCCAGTCATTCCTTCGCTGTTGGGTGCCAAAAGGAAATACCAAGCACAGCCAGATTCTTCTCCACCTGGTCCTTCAAACTGATCTTTACAACGAAGTGGTGGTCTTCCTCTTCTTTCCAAAGTTTGAATATTCTTATACATCCGGACCACATGACCTAACCAGCGTAGCCGCCGTATATCTCTAAGAGTTTATTGTGCCGTCGGCTGCTGTATTCGCCATTACCAAGGCACAGATGGCCATAAATATTATGAAAAATATTTCTTTTGAAATTTCATAACGTCGGATTTTCAGATGTTTTCATCAGCCATGCATTCATATAGTATATCAGGACGGAAATGAATGAATGAATTGAACGATTTGTTTGATCTTTGTTCGTCGAGAGAGGACTTTTCTTTTCAACTTGTTAGCTAGAGTGATTCTGCGCTGGAATTCAATTCGGGCACTGCTTTTGGTGCCAATATTGGATCCAAAATGAACAAAATTTTCTACGACTTCAAAGTTATGACTATCAAAAGTGACGTGGGAGCCGAGTCGTGAATACGACAATGACAGGAGATATTTCGTCTTTTCCTCATTCACTACCAGACCCATGTACTTCGCTTTCTTATTCAGTCAATATCATCGCTGCATGCCAGTAGCTTTGCGGTTTTATCGGAGATTGTACCTTCTCTATTCTGCACTACAACTCATATTATTTGTTCCAGCAATAAACTAAAGAAGACACACGATAAGAAATCATCACCTTGAATGAAGCCCTCATTTGGTATCCAACGGCTCCGAGAAGTCATTTATGTTCCTTACAAAGCTTT